CCTTCTGTTTATGCTCATACTAAATTACCACACATACTCTATCAATCATGAACGCTAATCTTACCGCAAATCTCTCCCGACGTAATCACAGTAATCTACTATTGCACTCTCCCGAGATACACTAGCTTGCTTAAATTCGCACAATTCAATTTAAATTGCACCCAAGGCTTCGTTATTCCTAATCCCGCCTTTAAACCCGCAATTATAGATTCCTCTAATAATCTAGGAGTGGTGTTGTTCAACAATACCCTAAATATGCACTCTTTTCCAAGTTATGCACACTAAATAGGCACAGCTAATTGAGGATCCTGTCAATTAACTACAACGAACACGAAGTTGAACAAATAAAGATTTAACTAGCAATTTGTATTCACATAAACAAGAAGTTCATCACTCAATAGGGTCCATCAAAGCCTTAGACAAGGAATTTAGCTACTCATGACTATGGAGAATAAACTAAGCTTGAATTCATCATAAAATCAAAAGAAAAGAAGAAAGATGTTTAGAGTACTTTCTCACAATTGTTTTTCTTGCTAAGAACCCTTAGAATTTAATAGCTGCCTCTCTTGGGCGAAGTCTAGCGTTTTAAATAGGGTTTAGGTCTAAAAATCCCGTATTTTACACTTAAGTCCCCGAAGTTTACTGTGCCCACCGCGGTTCTACCGCGGTCGCGGTAGAACCGCGGTCAAACGCCTTCGCGGAATCTTCAACCTTCAGAGACTGCCTTCCACCGCGGTTTCACCGCGGTCGCGGTAGAACCGCGGTGGAACTTGTACCCGGGCATTTTGGCCTGTTTTGAATGGGTTACTTGGGAAATTCAACAATTAGCCTCTTTTCATCAATAGTTGACTCCAAAACCGCCCCTTAGCCTTCCTTACACCTATATCACCTGCAAATCATGTAAAGCACTAATAAGAGCATTTTGTTGTCATTTTCCACATTAAAAGTTCACAAGAAGGTGATTATTTGGTGCGTGATTATAGTCAAATTCACCTATTATCAATGCTATTTTCACGGCTCGAACCTGTGACCTCCTGGTCACATGAAATCAACTTTACAAGTTACGCCAAGGCTCCCCTTCCTTTACGTGGTTTCTCTATGATTTATAATTCTTACAGAGAAATTTATAATTATTCCATTCATTACTATGGATCAAATTTTAGAGTTAAGCGTTTGTTGATTTGGTGACGTAGTAAATTCCAGTTAACTTGGAGTTTGGTAACAATTTTCTTTCACCTATTCTATATATCAAATATTAGAAACATCATATATTTTGAATCAAATTTGCCTAAACGACTAATATGTAAGACCAAAGAAAGTACATAATTAATAGCCTAATTAATAAAATACGCAAGTCTGTCGCATGGGCTTGCCTAGTGCGGTTTATCTTCTTATGTGCTTTGCGAGCTATTATATAAGATCGAGGTTTACCCTATGCGTACCCAAAAGGTAGTGGCGCGGTTCCTTTTAACAAAAAAAAAAAAAAGAAAAGAACACGAGAGTTTCCTCATAATTCCCCAACAATAAGAACTAGAATACTAAAGTTTCGATTACATTTACCACAATTTTGAGATTTTTAAGCTCAATGACAATTTGCTTTAGTGGTCTTTAATTAGGGTCTTCATTATAAGACAAGATAAAAAATGTATTAAGAGAATAACAAAACAGAAATAAGATAAACCACTAAATTGAAACCAATTAATCTCAAACAAATGGTTGACATAAAAGCTGGTTTGAAAATTTTAATGGTGTCAAATTCTTCTTTATGACACTATAAAAGTGCTTCAAGCATTCAGTTACCTTTCAAACACAATAAATTATCCAAAAGATATATATAGAAACAGAAGAAATATCTTATAATGAACAAGATGTATTTTAACTTCAAATTACCATTTGCATTTGCACTTCTATTTCTAGTGCACCTAGGAGAATCTCAACCTGCAGTTTTTGACGTGACTAAATTTGGTGCAAAGCCTGATAGCAATGAAGATATTAGCAAGGTAAATCTAACTATTTTACCTCTACCATTTATCTCAAATAATACAACTAGTGGATATATGTAGTTTCAGTGGCGAATCCAGAATTTGGAATCATTAGGACGTGCTCATTATATGTCTGATCTAGAAATAGTGAATTCTGTCGAATTCGTTCGCCGTGACAAAGTTTTTACTCATAAAATTTACGTTGCTCGTACTCTTCAAAATGTCTCTGTATAACCTAATAGGTCACAGGTTGGAGTCGTGGAAGCAACCACTAATGTTTGCATGAGAGTGCGTGGTTGTCTACATCACACCTCTTGGGGTGCGGCCCTTCCCTGGACTCTGCGTGAACGTGAGATGCCTTGTGCATCGGACTGCCATTTTTGTACTCTTCAAAATGCCGTTGGATGCATGTCAGATCCTCCAAAAATTGTATATTTTCTGAGGATCCGATACAGGTGTGAAGTATTTTTTTGAGAGTACGAACGTAGGAAGAAATATAGTATGCTAAACTTTTCTAATCTTGGTTGCATGTGGTCAAAGCTACTAATTACTCATTTACGTTTCATCTTTTTGGTTGTTTGAAAAACAATTATAGGCTCTATTAAGTGCATTTAAGGAGGCATGCAACTCGAAAATTCCAAGTAAAGTTGTGATCCCAAAAGGCATATATTTGATGAATCAAGTGAGACTAGAAGGTAATTGCAAAGCTCCTATAGAACTTGAAATTCAAGCCACTTTGAAAGCTCCTCCAAATCCAAGCCAACTCAAAAAAGATATGGAATGGTTAACTATTAATCATATTGATCATTTCACACTATCTGGTGGTGGAATTTTTGATGGCCAAGGAGAACAAGGTTGGGCACAAAATGACTGTAAAAATTCAGAAAGCTGCGGTAAACTTCCAAATGTAAGTCATCTTTTCTCGACCCGTTTGTCATTATTAGAAAAATATACATATTTTTTAAGAAAAGGTTATTTTTCTGGTGGTAAAATGACTTTGCTTACTTTGAGCAGAAGTCATTTTTCTTACTACTATCTTAACTTTTAATTTTTCATATTATTTATTTCCTCTAACTAATGCCTATCTAAATATTATTATTATTATTATTATTATTATTATTATTATTATTATTATTATTATTATTATTATTATTATTATTATTATTAATCTTTAGTATCTTTTCTGAACGTGCTTGACATGACATAAGTCATTATTAGAAAAAAAAATTTATTATTATTTTTAAAGAAAAGCCATTTTCTGGTGTTAAATGGACTGTCTTTACTTTAAGCTGAAGTCATTTTTTTATAACTATCTTAAGTACTTTTAATTTCATATTTTTTATTTCCTCCAACTAATGGCTAATTAAATGTTATTATTAATCTTTAATATAAGTAATATTTTTAATTCACCAACCAAACATGGCCAGGAAACATTTTATAGAGAAAATATTTGTCATATTTTCTGAAAATCAACTTTTACCGAAAATGACTCCTGTCATACCAAATACATTTGAAAACCTGAGTTTTAAGAAAGTGTAGACTTTTCAACCCGATTCCATCTTTCATTTCTTTTTTTTTTGGTTGTGCAGAATTTGAGCTTCAACTTCCTAACAAATTCCATAATCAGAGACATAACTTCATTGGACAGCAAATTATTCCACATTAATGTGTTAGGGTGCAAGAACTTAACTTTCATTGGAGTTAACATAAAGGCTCCAGCACAAAGCCTAAACACAGATGGTATTCATGTTGCAAGATCAAGAGGACTCAACATTACAAATTCACAAATTGGTACAGGAGATGATTGCATTTCAATTGGTGATGGAATTCAACAAATGTACATAACAAATGTAACATGTGGACCTGGCCATGGAATTAGTGTTGGTAGCCTTGGAAAAACTCCAGGAGAATTGCCTGTGGTTGGAGTTTTTGTGCAAAATTGTACATTTATTGACACTGACAATGGTGTGAGGGTGAAAACATGGCCAGCTTCACATAATGGTGTTGTTAGAGATTTGCACTATGAGGATATTATTGTGCAAAATGTTAGCAATCCTGTTGTTATTGATCAACTCTATTGCCCTTATAATCAGTGCAAGAAAGATGTAAGTACCTTATCTTTAACTTCGCTATTTCAGCCTAACGCAATCTTCCTCCTTGTTATTCGGAGTTATGATCGACTATACTTTACCCATAAGCAGAGTCGATGACTATATAAAAAAATCAGTGGCCGAGACAT